TCTATTTATCAATTAAAAAAACGTTTCGGTGTTTTCCACCATCATCAGTTTCAATGTGTAGCGTTGTTGCTACTTTACGCCTTGGCATGTATTTTGGAAAACACCGAAACGTTTTTTTAATTGATAAATAGACAATAAATGACTGAAGAACCCAGGATTTGATTTTGATTTGGAATTGAAACACAGTCAGGAAAGTACGTACAATATACGTATAAGGTAAAGTTCATGGAAAAATTTTTAAATCTGTTTTTACGCTTACTAATTACAAGTACAAATGAAGAAACATATGTATTACATTATTACATGACAGACTATTTTAATCTTGCAGGCTGAAAGGCTTTTATGGATTTTGCCATTTTTTGTTAAATAATTACTATGTTATGGATGTACTTGTTTTACCAATAAATGTAGTTTGAGGTTGTAGAATAGTACCCAAATAGGCTTAAGTGGCTGTTTTTACGAAAAGAAATATATCAAGAGCAAATAATCAGTACAAAATTATATTATTAGTCAAAAAGTCTGGTTTTTCTACAAAATTAATCTTAAAAATTGACTACTTTGATGTTTTCTAAAACATTACAAACGGAGTTACAATTTTGACGTGTTCCTGTAAGAATATTTGCATTAAATTGGTAAATATTACATTGGAAAACGGCCAATGTTTGTTAGTGAAACGTTCAATTCTCGGCCTGAGGGAGTGATCTGTGTTAAATTCGAACTTATTTGAGCAAATTTCGATTTTTCTGTATTTCGAAGTATGTGAGGAATTTCCCAGTTTTTGATACCAGAGATCCGGACTGGAACCGATGTGACCTAAAACATTTTGAATGAGTTCGATGCATTCCTCGCTTCCGTGAGCTTAAAATGATGCAAAATTTAAGACATTTTGAGAAAATTTTAATTTTTTGGACCACTCTTGGAAAAATTTCGGCCAAAAATCAAAATTTCACATGCGTGTTTTTTGAGCTCAATGGATTCCTTTCGACGTAAAAAGCTCACAAATATGCATTTACAAAGTGTTTGGGTCATTAATAAGGAAGAAATCGCCGTTTAAAGATCGTGAACGCTCAAAACAACCGACAAAAACTGCTTTTAACATTTTTATTTCCTACGCAAACTATGTTACATAAATGACAAATGTTTCTTTACATGAAGTGAATATGAAATGCAATAAATAAAGTTAAGTGACAATGAAAGCGCGAGTGTTCTCAGCATTCAGACTTAAGAATAGAAATGTACACTTTCGACAACAGCCTTGATGAAACAAAAATGCAGATCACTCTTGGAGCGCTTAAATGGCAAGCAGACATAGATACCACGAACCTACACCATTAAATGATTTATTTTAAATATATGGCCACTTTGTCGAGACCTTTCCGGTCTTCAATCACTCGTAATCAAGGTGTTGTCCACGCAAGCTGGGCCCTGACTGGGCCAATTACACGCCCCTAGACTGTTATCGAACGTTAACTGAACGGGGCAGTTGAACACATGCAAAGTGAACCTGTTCTTGGTGCAATCCCATCGGCAGGCGTAGAATTTGTTGCACTCTGTAGGGTGTCTGAAAAGACCGGCCCTTTGGCAGTCGATGGTTCCCTGGAGGGTTTCAGATCTGCTTCGCACTCCTCCCGGCCCGTAACGGTCGAGGTGCTTCGACAGAACCTCACTGGTGCCTGAAATTAACTTTCCCCATCAAAATCTCCCGAAAACATGCAATTGGGGGTGCGTCTTTACCTTCCCTAGCCCCGTCCTTGGCAGCCTGCTTCACCAACTTCAGCCCAGTGCGGACAGCCTTGACAATTTCCTTATCCGAAGCATCTGGGGCCGGGCTGGTGTTCTTTTGGTAGAACACGTCGGTTACTGGGGTGTAGTAGTTTTCCCCAACTGCCCCTGGTCTGACCACTTTCTTCGCATAAACCTCTGGAGTTGGAGTGATATCAACCACGCGTTGCGCTTCGTATCCGGCATCGTCAACCGCATAACCGTCGTCTTCGTCCTCATCCTCAACGATGATAATTTTCTGCTTCTTCCTCAACTTCAGGGTATTGGAAACACAGGTGCATTGAGCCCCCAGCTTGGCGGAGAGCAGAGGATGGGCGTCGTTTGCTTTGATAATGGTTACTGGCCTGGAGGGCTTGACTGCGAAAAAACAGTGATCCTAGAGAGTGGATATTGGGGAGTACCAGGATGGCCTACCAGTTGAGGTCACTCTGACACGCACTGGGAGGTACTCTCTGCTCAAGGTGGTGATTTCAGGCGCCGATGTTGTGCTGGTCACTTTGACCCTTCTGGATGGCAAGTATTCTCTGGAAGGCGCTGCCACTTCGACTGCAACGTACTTGGGAGGGGCCTTAGTGCGCACTCGAACAGGCAAATACTCGCGGGAAGGAGTAGTGACTTCTACTGGCAAATATTCCCTTGAGGGCGCCTTGGTGCGGACCTGAGGAAGCAAATAGTCCCGGGCCTCTGGAGCCACATACTCCTCAACCACCTTGGACACCTTAGGCGAACTAGTAGCTATTCGGACAGTGGACGTTACTGGCAAGTAGGTGCGTAACGGCTCTGAAGTGGTTGCTTTCACCAGGTTGTTGTACTGATACTGCTCGTCCAGGGAACTGAAAGAGTACCTGGATATGGGCCTGCTGGTGCTGCTAAGGACTTCTGGGGAAACAGAGGATGTTGCAGGAGTGGAGCTGTAGTTGTCGTAGAATCTAACTAGTGCAGGCGAGACTGGCTGTTTCGCGATGCTTTTGATGGTGGAGATGAGCGTTGGTCTTGGCGTTGAGGGCACATAGTTGTAAACAACCTGGAACATCCACTGTGAGTGATTCCCTAGGTTTGCTAGAGTGACTCACCTGAGGTTGCTGTTGGTAAACGGTTGGGGCAAGTGCCGCCTCATACTGGGGAAGTTTATAGCTTTCAACCACCACTTTGCCCCTGTTCTTGTACCGGTAGTCGTCGTCGTAATGGCCAGTTACATAGGCAGTCTTCTTAACAAAAGCCTCCTCTTGGACTGGTTGCGGTTCTTCGTTGAAGCTGATGGCGGGCTTGGAGTACTCGTAGCCCCTACTGGGCGGTTGATTGAAGTAGCTGCTAACTACAGCCGGTTTGGCCGAAGGCACCTCCTGCACTAGAATCGGTTGCGCTGTAGTTGATCCTGAAGTGAAACTGTAGCTTGCAGCCGGTTTACTTTCAAGGAGTGGGCGTGAGGTGGATGACACCACTGAGTTTGCCTGATAGAAGCCTTGGCCCGCTGGTTGCTCCTGGGAGTTGCCTATGTGGAAGTAGCTGGAACTGTAGGGCTCCACAGGGGGAGTTTGGGGTTTGGGTCTATGCGCGCTTTCCAAGTTGAAATAACTGCTAACCACAGCCGGTTTGGCAGGGGAGTGCTGAAGTTCTGTAGGCTTTGAATACGTGTAGCCGTAGTTCTCCTGCCTTTGCTCGCTCTGGGCATGCGAGTTGGAGGCGTCCAAGTTGAAGTAGCTGGAAACAGCTGCGAATGGTTTTGGTGTGGAGTATGGAGCCCCCACAACCTCCCCTTGAGGCCGCTGAGGCTCCTGACGCTGTGGATGAGAGTATTCGACATTCACTTCCTCCTGCAAGTTGCCAGCGCTGGCTTGAGCGGCTGCAATGTTGAAGTAGCTGGAAACAACCGCGGGTTGAGTTGGCACTTCAACACGCCTTGGAGCTTCTTCAAAGCTAACGGAAGGCTTTGCGTAGGTGTAGCCAGCATTTGCTTGCTGCGCGCTGCTCTCGGCTTGAGCTTTGGAGCTTTGGAAGCTAAAGTAGCTGCTAGGGGAGGGTTTGGAGGTTGAAAATCTAACGGGAGTTTCTTCAAAGCCAATGGCGGGCTTGGAATAGGTGTAGCCTACGTTTTCGTGTTGCGCCCCCCTTTCGGCTTGGGCGTTGGAGCTTTGCAGGTTGAAGTAGCTGTTGACTACAGCAAGAGCGGGTTTTGGAGCTTCCACAAAGCTCACTGAAGGCTTGGCGTATGTATAGCCCACGTTCGCTTGCTGCTGTTCATTATGGGCTTGCGCCTTGGAGGTTTGCAAGTTAAAGTAGCTGCTTGCTACTGCAGAGGCAGGTTTAGGGGTTGAAACTACCACTGGAGCCTCCACGAAGCTGACTGAGGGTTTGGAGTAAACATACCCCTCATTTGCTTGTTGGGCGCTACTTTGGGATTGAGCTTTGGAAGTTTGCAAGTTAAAGTAGCTGCTGACAACCGCAGGGGCGGGTTGGGGGGTTGAAACTACCACTGGAGCCTCCACGAAGCTGACTGAGGGTTTGGAGTATTCATAGCCCACATTTGCTTGTTGGGCGCTACTTTGGGATTGAGCTTTGGAACTTTGCAAGTTAAAGTAGCTGCTCACAACCGCAGGGGCGGGTTGGGGGGTTGAAACTACCACTGGAGCCTCCACGAAGCTGACTGAGGGTTTGGAGTAAACATACCCCACATTTGCTTGTTGGGCGCTACTTTGGGATTGAGCTTTGGAACTTTGCAAGTTAAAGTAGCTGCTGACAACCGCAGGGGCGGGTTCTGGGGTTGAAACTACCACTGGAGTCTCCACAAAGCTGACTGAGGGTTTGGAGTATTCATAGCCCACATTTGCTTGTTGGGCGCTACTTTGGGATTGAGCTTTGGAAGTTTGCACGTTAAAGTAGCTGTTAATATCTGCAGAGTCGGGTTTTGGAGTGGAAAATGATGCTGGCGCTTCCCCAAAGGTAACCGAAGGCTTGGAGTAGGTGTAACCCGCGTTGGCTTGTTGCGCGTTACTCTGGGCTTGGGCTTTGGAGCTTTGGAGGTTGAAATAACTGGTTACTACGGCCGGCTGGGCAGGTTTTCCTGCATCCAGGGGCCTCGGCGTGGAATACACATAGCGGTCATGTTGGGCGTTATTGGCATTCTGCTCGTTGGTATACGAGTGAATGTATTGATAGCTAGGCCCCCTAATAGGCAGGTAGGCGGCGCTCTGAACAGGTAGAACGGGGCTAGTTTCTGGCTGTTTGTAGACCACGCCCACCGCTTGCTGCACAACGTTCTGATAGGTGTAAGGAGTGACTGCAGGCCGTCTTTGAACTGGCGGTTGATAGGTGTAAGTCGATAGACGCTCTGGTTGTTGAGTTAGAGGAACTGGCTGTTGCTGGTAGAAGTACTGCTGCGGTTGATAGTAAGTAACCACCTGCTCCTGCTTGACTTCCGGGATTTCGTTGGCAGCAACTGGCTGTTGGTAGTAGTAGCCTGCGGATGTTCCTGTTTGTTGCCCCACAGCACTTCCGAAGGAGAACTTAGACACAACTGAGGCCTGCTCATTTTCTTGGCTTATGCCTACGGCTTGGTAACTGTGAGGGGCTGGAGTGCTGGAAACTTGGGGCGTTTCTTCGAATTTCACCAGAGGCTTTTCATAGCTGTATCCAGTTGGAACCACAGTGAAGGGCTTTGGGGTGCTGTAAGCGACGCCTCCAAGCGGCGCGCCAGTGCTGGAGATGTAGAGGTTCGGCTCAGTGGAGACACCCACAGTTTTAACGGGTTTTTCCTCAAAGGAAATAGCCGGCTTGTTGTAGGCGTAGCCGCCAGTTTGCGAGTAAGTTTGCTGACTGGCCGGCGCTGAAGTGACAACGAAGTTCACAAAGTTGGTGGAACCGTTGGTGAAAAGACCTGCATCTTCGAAGGATTTCACTTTGTACTGCAGTTCCGGGATATTTGCGATGACCCCACCTGAAATGGGAGGTTTCTTTGAGGGAAATTGCATACTAGATTTGGGTTTGAGTACCTCGAATTGTGTCAAAGCCGGAAATAGCCTTGATTCCGGGCACTGGAACTGCGGTGACTGTGGGGATTTTTGCTACTGGGAGTACTTCAGGAGAGGCAGTCACTACGTGACTCTGGCCGTTGGGGTAAATGTTAACGTTCGATAAGGTTCCTGAAAAATCGCACTAATTTAATATTTATCTAATTTAGATGCTTCCTGGTTGGGGGCGAGCCCCTAAATATTCGAAAGTTCAACACTAGGGCCCTCCCTAGAGGACGCAATTTTTCAATCTTACCGACTGCAGAATATCCTCCTCCAATAATATTGACGCCTCCATACTGTAGGCTGTTTTTAGCTTCCTTCTCCCCGTGGTATTGGGAGTAGCTGGCGCCTCCAGCCCCATTGCCCACCAGTTTTGCTCCAAAGTCCAACCCATTGCTGCCATAACTGGCAGAGTCAATGGACTGCAGCCCCGGCTTGGAAGTAGCATAGTTGCCCTGGTTGTACTCGTGGGAACCTGCTGCGCTATTGGCACTTCCCCCTGTTAGTCCGTGGTACCGAGTGAAACTTTGAGAGGAGACTGCGGCTCCCTTAGAACCATCGTTCCTCAAAGCGACCTCAAGCGGTTCCTCCTGGGCTTGTCCTGAAGAGGCCTCATATTGACCGGAGTTGTAATAGTCACTACCTAAGCCTAAGCTTGCGCCTCCTACAAGGGCTCCTCCTTGCTGGTGAGCCCCACCAGCAGACCCAGTGGAAACATAGCTAAGGCCCGCCTGGAAAGGAAGGAAACTGCAGTGTTTCACAACAACTAATACGCAAACGTACCTGTCCACTCTGTGCAGAGGCTTGGTACCCAACCCCATTGTTTACTCTGAGAAAGCCGGCGTTTTGCAACGCCTGAGCCTCTTTGTAGCTCAAACCGCCTCCGCCTCCGATGTAACCTTGATGGTTTGGGTACCCCAGGCCTAAAGCGCCGCTTGCGGCATTGGTGTAAAGTGCTGTGAGAGGTCGTTCGATTGTTCCAGAAACGCCTCCTAGTTTCACTGCCCCCAAACTGCCAAGGCCGTCGTAGCTCTGTAAGATAAGGCCAGGGGCGCCTTGATTTTGAGAGCCTCCATAGTAGAATCCGGAGTCCAGGCCGGAGGCGGCACCATTGGAGCATTTGGGTACCAGCCAAGGCCACTCACAGACCAGCCGGTCGCCATCAAACACCAATCCGAAAGGACAGCGGAACTCGTAGGCTTGCAGTGGGGACTTGCCGTGGTCCAAGCAGGCGAAGAACCAGCGGCAGTTTTCAGGGTCGGCGTAATATCCTAAAGGGCCACAGTTGGTAGGGCGAGGGTTATTGAGGTGGCGCCTTGGGCTTACCGGGTTCCGAAGGGCAGACGAACCTTTCTCTGGGCACTGGGGCGATCTCACTGCTGCCCGAGCACGGGGTTCCATGAGGAAGGCTTCCGGGCCAAACGCACACTTCCACGCGTTCGTCAAAGGCCAGACCTGCGTTATTTGAGTAAACAGGAATTTCCAGATGGGCAAAACATGCGATTAAGTACCTGCAGGACAGTCGAATTCGAAAACGTTGTACTCTTCTTTTAGTTGGTTGAATTTGACGCAACGATAGAATCTGTTGCAGGATCGAGGATGCACAAAGTATCCCTGTCTGGAACATTGGAATTCGGTTCTACTATCCTAAAAAAAAAAGTTCTGAAAAGTTGCAAAAGTACTGCGATGGCCGGGAATCGAACCCGGATCAACTGCTTGGAAGGCAACTATGCTGACCATTACACCACCATCGCACATACCTACGCCTTTATTAAAGTAGGTTTAAAAGCAAAATGTATAATACTTGTTTTAAATAATAATTGTTTGTTGGGTGAAAATTTTTGTCTTTAAAGACAGAATTTCCTCACGTCTTTTATTACAGATTGACAAATAGTGCTCTTATTTCGCAATAAGATTGGCAATCTTAAGCAATTTTTATTAGTGGCATGAAAGTAGTGAATCTTTTTAATTAACGGCGGATGTTGGAATGATTTCTCAAGCAAATAAAGCGGATTTGTTATTTTAGAGCCTAATTAGAGCATGGCTAGGTCATAAGCGTGCAATTCGAGGGTTGTTTATGTGCGATGGTGGTGTAATGGTCAGCATAGTTGCCTTCCAAGCAGTTGATCCGGGTTCGATTCCCGGCCATCGCATATACTTTTGCTGTTTCTCGCAGCGTTTTTTGTCAACATTTGTAAAACAAGCCCTCCTTAGTTGGTTGACATTTAAAACAATTATATTTAGAGGTTAGCAATAAGATGGTGGTAGTTTGTGAGTAATTAGTGTGATTAATAAGTGTGATAATAAGCCAACATAATCCTGTTTTTAAAATATATATATCAAGTCGTACAATAAACATAAGACTTTGATATAACAAAACGTATTTCGAAATTCCTCACCTGCCGTATAACGTGAATTTTTCCTTCGGTGTCAATAATTCTGGATATTCTGAATGGAGAAATTTGGACTGAGTCCAAAGGCTTTGAAGATGAATCGACAATCTCCCTTTCCAGAGAACGAAGTACCGCTCCTCGAGGCGCTCTGGCTTGTCTAGAAAGACCTGAAAAGACAATCGAAACCTGTTTTTAAATTCCTAAACAGTCTAAAAGTTCCTAATGTTTCCAAATGCATATCCAAATGGGTGTCATACATTGAAAAGTTATGGCACAGTTTAATAATGTTTGCTTCGTTCAAACTTCCCTATGAAAACTGACACTCTGATATAGGCAAGAAAATTGGTTTTAATCACAAATTTTATAACTTCTCTTGGGCATTAAACCAACAAATAATTAGTTACCATTAAAAGTCGACTCCAAGATAGTAGAATCGCATTCAGACCCTCCATCATTGGCCAAGTCTTTCAGGGCCATGCCAGCCAGTCCTCGAACTCTCACGTATTTTGCTTTAATGTCGATGGATTTCGAGTCATCGAAAGCAATCCATTGGTCCTTACTAGAACAACAATTGCAACCGTAATGGATTTTCGTTCAAATTTGCTTAAGGCTCCATGGAAAAATGCCCAAAATTGAGCCTTTTTTTTGCAAAAGATAGTCATTAATTATTAACAATTGCCAAAGAATTAACAATTTAAACGCTCGCCTACTCCCAGTCGACAGAGCAATCAATTTCGGACAGGCTTTAAAAAAATCAAGTACTGTTTCCTTTCGCCACTTCACTTTGTATAATACAATAGCATTGTAAACATGAACGTTCGTAATTACGATCGCTTAGAAGTCTAGACGATTGATTGCTAATAGAAGCAGTAATCGATGGCTTCATTGCCTTTCACCGAGGGGTTTAGCAACTTCGACCAATCCACATTTTGCACTCAAACATGCACTTGGCGAATAAAAAGGGGCTCAATTAATTCATGAGCCCAGCCCAATTAATTAGCGAAAATTCGATAATACTTGAATAAATTAACTACGTCCGAGTAATGCAAATTAGGCAAAATACTGCAAATTAAGAAGAACGTGAGTAAATAAATGGTGCTGTTAAATCCAATACACCGATACAATTCCCCAACTATACAACTAAGTCAAGGAAAGTATACCGAGTGTTTTGCCATGACATGGCACACCTGAAAAGGCGTAGATTCTAATTGAATGGTGGCAATCGAGACCGAAAAATCATATTGCTCGAAATTTTGAGGCCTATTAGTCATTGGTTGATACTTAATGATATTTAATGGGCAAAAATGCCTTGGTTTCAATTTATTAGACAATTGCCGCAACGCTGTGTCTTACATACTGGTAAAACTGGGAGTTGATTCAATTTGGGTCACTTGCATCATAGAAAATAAATTTGCGACTTTTACAAGCTGGTTGGAAACTCAGCCCTATTTTTAAAGTGGTTCTTTGAAGCAAAAACTCAAACAAAGTTTGCAGTGGATTTAATGGATTTACTAAGTAACTTCCAAATGAAACTCCTGTTTGTTTGTCACCATTTTCCGTAAACATTTGATCAGTAATCTGAGGCAAAGCCAGCGCAAAATTTCCCCGCAGTAAATCCGCCACTATAAACATGCAAGCCTTATTGCGTAAGAGTTGCTCCACTTTCTGAACCCGTGCTTAAGACGCTTTACCTAATACGTCCGACATTGCCCGTGGTGGTACTTCTAGCGTAACGCGAACAACCATTAATAAAAGACCATGGCAGTGGCCATATATTTTCATTAGCGGCACGCAAAGGACGCGAAAAGTCGCCGAAACTTTTTACAAAATGAAAAATATTGTTTTGTTTTTGTTTTCAAGTTGTTGAACAGCCACACACACAACGAAGAACGCATAAATGCAGATCTCAGTAGCAATAGTTCACACACTGAACAATCGAAGAGTTTCGGATTATTAGGCTGTGCAGACGTTTCGCCACTTATCCTTATTTTATTCGTTAATTCACTCACCTGAAAATGTAAGGGCCCGCTTGATCCTCGTCCCTTTCCAAAGTCCAATTTTGACTATCTTTCATAATCCTGCAAAGTTGATCGCGGTTGATCGACTTGATTTCAAGGGCTGGACTTCCTGGCGCTGTATAATCTGGATTTTGCAGCTTAAATTGGTAGGCTTGAACGGGCGCGGCTACAACCACTTTCGATAAAGGGGCCCCCAAGCCAGCC